ATGTGACATCTTAATTAACTATAGCTACCTTCCTTTTAAAGAAGCTAGCTAATTGCAGGACCAGAGCTCTTAAAAATGAAGGCTATATTAGTTATAGTGAACAATTGTCCTGGTTAAAAGCTTGGCTCATGCCTTGCCAAGAAATCCCAGGCTAGACAATGAACTTAGGTTTGTGAGTTTTCTTTTGATTTCACCAAATGACATCACAATGCTGTCTTGTAATACACCTAGACAATGTAATACAACCAATGCACTGTAAAATGCAATGTGGTGCAGGGTCTATCTGCACCCAACGTGCATAGACCTGAAGCAGTTTTAAACAGCAGTAGGCTACTTGCAGAACCACAGACTTCAGCATGAACTGATTTGACCAGAATTTGGAAGTGGTTTTGCTTCTCAGCTGTCTGCTGCAGGTACCCAGATTTTCCACTGGCACCCATGTTCACATATCACAGAATCATCATGGTTGGAAGAGACCTTCATGATCATCTAGTCCAACCATCAATCTAGTGCCACAATATCCCCAAATATYGCTAGTCCCTAAATCATATCCCCAAAGCGGATGTGCATCTATTAGCTCATCAGAGATTATAAAGCACATTCAGATAAAGGATTTTTTTATGATTATATTTAAAAGAGTCCTGCTTGAGGGAAGGATTTTCTTTTACTTCACAGGGAGTTTGCTCTTTATCAACTTCTGGTATATCCAGATAGGGCTGAGGGAGCTTATACAGTTAGCCCCCAGATCTGAAAATGCAATAGCAAAAAGATAAAAACCTGCGTATTTTCCCTTTTCCATGTCTGCTGCCACAAAGAGCTTGTCTGAGGTTTAGGCTGATCTGGATCAGCAGATGAATATTTCAAAGACTCTGGAAACATTAGTCAGTCCCACAGAGTTGTGTAGCCATCCAAATGACTTGCAGCCTCTGTGCTGCCTTCTAAAACACTAGTTTTTCATCCCTGATTAGTTCYAAGCTATAATACTCTAGGAAAAAATTATCTCCCCAGCTCATCTAAAGACTCTGTGCTTTACTGGGATCTATATACCTGCCAATACCAACAACAAAATTAGTCATCTTTTCAATCCTTCTTGAATATTGGGGTTTGAAGGTTTGATTTGAGACCAGAAATAGAATTCACTCTTTTCTTCCCATCTCTGAATATTTATCCTTTATTACACTCGCCCACATCACCCATCTTGGGAGGGCAGTACAAGGTTTGKATGTACCTTTAAGAATATGCACACACTCCAGGAATAAGAAAAATAGTTGTGAATAGTTCATCTTTTTCAATAGAAGAAGTTTAACAAGGAGACAAGAAACTTTTTTTTTCTACTACTTCTTACATATGGCTTTGATTATCAGCATAAGAATGCCATTTAGACAAACCTTGTCAGTCCACCCAACAGGCAGAGGAAAATATGGGTTCTAACCTGTACTATCTGAATTCATAGCAACATCTTGGCACAAAGGGAAAATGTGCACTTGTATTCCCCATCAGCTGGTGAGTRTGAATGTTCCATTTAGGATGGAACTGTAAAAGGAACAGTGAGAAAAGGTATATTATCAACATTGGCTGATATCTTCCCTTTCCAGCAACAGAAATTGCTGAGATCTGAAGAGCTGCACCTTCATGCTTTTGCTCAATGACACTTCAATCCCACTCTCACTGTGCTATTTGCTGCAATTTGGAGATTGGCACCTTGCTCAGGGTGACAGGCTGGAAAGCCCATTTTGCCTCAAGTTCTTCTTCCCTTTCAGTAAGATGACCATTTAAGTATGAACAGGCTCAACCTTTTGGCACCTGTAAAGGACGTTAAAGGTCACTTAATACAGCAGTTTTCAATGCATTTTCTGCAGAGCTGGAAGTAGTTMCAGCACAGACCATTGTAAGTCACCTTAGTACGGATTATTTTCTCGGCATATGTTTTGCTTCAGAGCATTGCATTGCTTCTGCACTTTCATTACTGAAACACTACACTCAGCAATATTGAAAAGTGGGCCAGGGAGCTGCACCAAACAGCAGGCTGACAAGTCATGCCCTTCTTTCACAAGATCTTCCTCAGATCAGCCAAAACGTCACTCCAGGATCTTTTTGTCCTCTAACATTTACTCCATTCTTCATCAGACCTCTCTCTTCCCATTTTGTAAAACTCCCAAATATCTACACTGTCCAGTTCCCTGGTTTCATAACTGCTTCCATAGGCAACTGGCAGATGACCTGTCCTGCATTTTAATAGCTCTCTCCTCCTGCTATCAATGTAACTCTACAAACATATACTCACAAGGTGCATTTTCTTAACCCCAGGCTCCTGCGATGTCTCTTCCATCTGGCACCAGGGASATGCAATGTTGCATACATTTGTGCCAAAATTACAAGGTTCGTACTACCATCCATTAAAGCACCTGTCAAGAAGATGGATTGTRGAATAACTTGCATAAAAGGGCAGATAAATCAGATAAATAGAATCCATAGAGGAAGATGTCGAGGAGAAACATGTATATATCTTAGACTGGTGGAAACTCACTGATYGACCACATTCATGCTTCCACTTTGGAAATCACATAAAATTAGAAAAATAGACTGCAAGACCACACAAATCATTAAGCAAAACCAATGATTTTCAGTTCTGTATTTAAATGCCAGATTTTTTCCTAATGTAGCAACAGGACTTCATACATACAGAATGCAAGTTAGAAAGGCAGATGATGGTAGGCGCTTCCACGATTTATGGTGAAACATCGGAGAGAACTGGAACATATTCCTGAATAAGGCACAGCGTGTCCTATAGCACCACCTAGCAGGCTAATTTAAAAGTGGTTCATATCCCTGGATCCCGGACAACACCGGTGTGTTTGTGCATCGGAAACAGGGTGCACTTGGCTCTTCTTTCACCTCACTTGTTGTGACAGCTACTTCTTGAAACCAGAATCGTGCCAACGTGGTGATTAGTAAAGCTGGGGTCTCTGTTCTTCACAGCCGTATTTATTATAAATCTCTTAAAAGAAACCACAGGTTTAGTGTAAGAAACCCTTGAATTCTAGATGTCACCAGCTGGTACAGAAGGCAGAAGCACCTCTCAGAAAGCCAGACTTCACAAACCCACCCAATCCTCCCTCCATATTCACCAGCAAGATAAGTAAATCTTGCCAACTCTCAGGCTTTTAAAAGCGCTCATCACACTGTGTATTTTGGTTAGTCAGGAGTCTGTTGACCATCATCACCTACATATACTTCTTCTTTGTACATCTGCATCAAGTATGAAGTCAATGCCAACTTACACATTTTAAGTTTTGGCAGATGATGGAGCTCCATGCTGAGGCTTGGGACTGAAGGYGACAACAGCTCTCTGTTGATATTAAGAGGGAAGACTTTTTTTTTTCTGGCTGCCTCTTACTTTCTTGAAGCCTTGGCACATCTCAGACTTTTTGGTGCCATCATTCAGCTTGATAACCTAGTAGAAAATAACCCCTTTTTGTGTGTTCCTACGTTTTCTGCTAATAGTGAAGTAAGAGTGGTGTACAACAGGGTCTGATGGATGACAGAGCCGGCAARAAATAAGGGGCTCAGAGGGAGACAGAGGTGAAAAAGGTGGAAACTGTCCTCTGACTTCTCCCTTTGGGTGGCGGCAAACTATTAATCTGCCTTGCCATATTGCATAAAAACATAACCTAAGGGTAGAACTGTGCCCTGTCATGAAGGAGTATGTTTTCTTAGCAATTAGCAGCCTGTTTATTGGAAGTTAAAACCAAGGTTGTCCTTASCAGCTTCTATTCACAACAGGTTATGCCTAGTCAGGCCTGTTTAGCACCAGCATTTCTAAAATGCAGATCATCTAGTAGGAAAAAGATAGGATAGATATGTTCATTAGGATTCTTTCATGAAAGTCCTAAAAAACCCCATGAATTTGAGTGAGAACTCAAATACTCAAAGTATTCAGTTTATGATTTAATCCTTTCATATGAACTCAAATTTCATGCTAAAATGTCTGGGAACTAAACCTTTACCAGTAAAAAAATGCTTCGATCRGGGCCTGCTACAAAGAAAGCAAGATCTGTCAAAATTAATCATAAGTAGAAAGTAACAATGGCTTGCTTTTATTTCTATCCTGTTGCCTCTCAACCCACTACCCAGCATCATTTCCATTTGGATGGTGCAAAATTATTATGACTGCCTGGTGTGAAAGGACACTTTAAAACAATCATCCCGCACCAATGCAAACTTCCTATAAATGAGACAAATTCAATCTTTTACTCTCCCCTATCAAAATAAAATCCTAATCTGTCCAAAAGCTATTCTGTGTGCTTGTTAAGCAAGGACTGCACATCCCATGGCAAGGCTGGATTTCCCCGAGCTGTGCCCTGGGATGGCAGTGCTTCTAAAGGCTGCTGCTCTGCCACSCACCTCCTCTGCATTTCACATCTTTCCAGGGCTTTCAGAGTGCCCAGGGTGTGGAACAAATCCACACGGGCTCATTGAAAAACTACACTGGCCATCTGCTTTGAGCAAACAGTAACTGCAAAGCAAATAAAAAATCCCCGCGTGTGTTATTTTCCCATTAGGAACGACAGAGAAAACAAATCCTTCATGACGGACGCCAGCTCTGCCAGTTGCTGCCTTCCCGGCAAGCATTCCTGCCCTGCAGTAGGGAGGGCTTTATTAATAATACAGAGTTAAAGTATTTTGCAGGAGGAACAGTGGGAGTTACAGCATAGAACACAAGCGCACAGAATTCATTTACGACTGAGGGAGATCGCGCGGCTGCCCCCGCCTCAGGCCGCGACCGCCCTTTCGAAGGGGTTGGTGAGTGTGAGGGTGTGGGTGGGCTCTTGCTCTTCGCCTGCACGGGTCGGCAGCGGGTCGGATCTTTCCCTCGGTCCGTTCGCCCGAGGCCAGGTTCAAGCTGCAGCAGTGCAGCAGCACCGGGCCGGCGGTGAGGGGAAGGATTCCCTGGCTCCCCCCGCCCGCCATTTCCCGCTGCCCGCCCTGCACCGCCCCTTCCGCCCGCAGCCCCGCCTCGGCCCGGGACGCGCGGTAGGTGCGGGGCGGSCGCGGTGAGGGTGAGGGGACCGGGTGGTTCCCTCAGCGGGGCCCTGCGCTGGTGGATTTCTGCCATCCTCCTCTTCTATGTTTTTAATTTTCCTGACAAGGCGAGCCCTGGAGGCGGGTTCGGCGTGCGGTGCGTTCCTCTACTCATCGTGCCGTAAGCTGGGCTTTTCCCCCTCGACTACGTGCGATTACATAGCAATAAATTCAAAAATATACACACGTACTATGGTCAAACCTGCCTAGATATCCACCATCCAAATTTTAGCATTTGCAGTTCTCAGAGTTCATTGAGAATTAARTGCCCCTGACACCACAGAGATAGAAAATCCTTCAGCATTTGGGGGAGGCCGCCGTTTAAACGTGGTGGTGGCTTCATGGGAACTGAACGATTAAATTTGCAGGATATGGACCATATAAATTGCCTTGTAGTTTCCGGTTGCTTTCCTCATACATRAACTGCACAAAATTTATGAATAAAAATAACGATGCCATACGCAGTTAGGGCTGCAGTGGGATATCTGCAGGAGCTGAGCATCTGCACTGAACCTTGGRGAAAGTTTGAAAGCATAAATGCTGAAATGTATCAAGGGCAATTTTCCTCTTTATTTTCCTGAGTAGTGACTATTAKGAGAAAACAAATACTCTGTGGCATTTCCTGCTTACTCTTGCATTAAATGTGCAAGATCACATTTGATCGTGTGAGAACGGAGTTTTCATTTAATAATGCAATAAAGGAGAGTAGAGTTTTCAGTGTGGTCTGTCCTTACCCACACGGATGTGGATGTAAGCTGAAGAGGGACTTTTCTCCTTKCAGCGTTTCTAATCTTAAAAAGATGTTAGTGAGCTCCAATGAGAGAGCATTCTCTGACAGGAGAAAACTGGAAATCCCTGCCTCAGCTTCACATGAGGATCAAGTGATCGTCTCCCTACAGTCATCCCCTTAGAAGTGCTGCCCTCTGCACKGTAAATGACATGACCTTTTCAATCAGATCTAAACTACCAGATTTGCCAAGAGGTCGCAAACTTCAAAGAGGTCATTTGAGTTTAATATTACCATGTTCTGGGTTTTAGCTCTATTATGAAGGAGGTTTTCTCCTGAAAATGGATTTCATCCAGGCTCTTACTTCTTCAGCATGTTTTTCTTAAAAAAATACTGCCAAACAACTCACAACATCTGTCTTCAGCTGAATGTAAGAATAACACCAGTTTTTATACTAAAATATACATATTAAATTATTGTATGCTTACATATATCATGTTTTTTATTAAGCACTCATCGTGTGCTCAGTGCAGCATAAACATTAAACAAGATTATTCTTCCCCTGGTGAATTACAGTCTGAAAGATCTTCATAGGAAGGAATACTAATAGCATGTCATTAAACATCACCTTTAAATTAATCTCTCTTTGTCTCCCTGCGGTTAATGCTCATTTGCTGTTCATCATGACTAGTATATCCTGGCATGTCATGTAGTKCTGTTTGATGATGTTACAGACCCCAGTTGTCCACTCTGCCCCTCTGAGAGSAGTTCTTGTTCAGCACATGTGGAAGGAGAGAGCATATGTCCCTGCTTCAGCTGCTGCCATGAAAAGCCCAGCAGCATAGCTGAGACCCACCTTTGATGGTACTCCACACTAAGACTTTGCTTGTTGTATCAAAGCACGATTTCCTTCTGCCACCTCGGCTTCCTGTGAGGACAGCTGGAAACACTCATGTCTTTAACAGCTGCAGCACGATTCTGTGAAGCTCATGTGTTAAAGCCCTGAGAGAAGAGACTCAGCAAATCGAAGGAGGGGCATCCAGTTTTAACTGATTTCTGTTGGGTTTAGGTGCCTAATTCACTTTTATATCTTCGTAGCAGCATCTTTCTAGGGGGGAATTCTGTAGCCAATGGATTTTTTAAAAAAGAGATTGGAGATTTCTTGGGCAGAGCACATAATGGGGCTTGGATCATAAAAAGAACCGATGCTTCCCAAGGGAAGCAGGACTCTTGAACTGWAGGAGTTAGCAGCTTTGAAAGTTTTTAATTTTGTTTGCTTATTTAGAGTCACAATGTAGTCGTAAGCCCTGAAACAATTTCCGTTCCAGTTTCTGCACTAGATTGAACATAGTATTTGTCAGWGAAATTATTTCAGAGACAAATTTTCAAAAGTAGCTACTGAAAGCATGCTGTTTTCTAAAAACAGCTTTTTGCTGAGTAAGCTAGAATCACTGCCTGGAAGTTGAAATCTGAAAGAAAAGAAAAAAAACTACCTAGAAAAAAAAACCCCTGGGTTTTGTTGGTTTTTGGTTGGTTGGTTTTTATGTTTGTGTTTTTTTTTTTTAAGTGAGCTTGACTGTCCATTAAAACAAACTCCTAAAAGAAAATTCTGTCTCCTAAAAGTTTTCAAATCAAAATGTAATTCTGTTTTGAAAGTTGTTGTCAAACTCAGCTTACAGAATTTAGTATTGAGGTTACTGATTAAAATTTTTGCAGCTGTATTATAGAGGAGATTAGCATACACTGATCTAATTATTGGCTCTTTCTGACCTCAGTATCTATAGACTATGTAGTGGAAGTAGCACAGTGCTAGCMAGGACTAGACAAGTGTGTAGGGTAAATACAGGGTGTGTATTGATTGCTGGTGGAGGAGGAAGTGTGGTGGCTTTAGTATTGTCTTTATTGTGGTAAATTGATTTACTGGAGGAAAAGGAGAAGTTAATTCTTCATATCAATCATCCTGTGGTGCATGGTCAAAAAATTACTGCATATCTCTTCCTCTGTAAATATGTKTTGTGCTTTATTAATGTAAAAGAATGTTTCTGTGGTTATTGTGCTCTTCTTCTCATGTTTTTTGCTTTGGCTGGTTTTGGTTTCTTTTTAGTKCTAGAGAGAAAACAAACCTATCTATGCACACTTTAATTCCTGATTTTGTGTTATGAACAGGTTAGGATTTGACTATGGCAGTGCAGTCCCTGTGGAAGGCATCTCTGTGGTTAAAGAAGCACAAGATCGCTGTGTTGGCCGTTTCTTGCRTGGGACTGCTTGGCACTGACCTTTCCTATCATGTGTTTCCTGAGCAGACGTTCAAACTGTTGCACGAGTGCTGGTCAGAGGGKCAGCCAGCTAAGCTTTCAGAGAAGCTCTGTGGTGTGTTTCAGGATGTCCTTCAGGATACTGGTGTGAAGTCCACTGACTCCTACAGAGCCTTTGCAGCTTCTGGCTTCCACCCTGTGAGTGCTGGAATTCCCTGGCTGCCCGCAGGCTCTTTGGTGGGCATCCCACCCAACTTTGATAGCACAGCTGAGGATAAAAAAGGAATAGTCAACCATATTGTTGTAATAAATGGCAAGGAAGTAGACTGGGAGAGCAGTGAAGGCGTTGCTTTGAAGGAAGCTCTCACATTTTCACTTGAAGCTCAGAAGTTTGCCATTGCCAGAGAAGTTGTGTATTTGCAGAATGGCAGCCCTTTAGCAAGTGCAGTTGTGGCTCCGACTTGCTTGGCTGGGACGTTTCTCTGTGGCAGAGCTCTAAACCTGCTGCTGGGGTTTTCCAGGGGCCCTGTGATCCTTCGTGGCCTCTGTAACCTCGTCAGTGCCATGGGAGGACTGTTCTGCTATGGCGTTTCTTCCGACGCTGTCACCTATCACCTGGACTGCCGGGCTGACAGGAAGGCAGCCATGCTTTCCAAAGACTATGCCAGAGGTGGCCTTGAATTTTATGATAAAATCTTGTCCCGCAACAGAATTTTTCGTGGTCTGATGGGCAAACAAGGGATGAAAGTGTATGCCCCGAGTGGTAACCTTTACCCAAGGCACTGGTTCAGAATAAAGTATACCCCACTCACTTACCGGAGAACTTTGATTGTTAATATTTTAACAGAGCTCCAGGCATCAGATGGGAGTGCTTGAATTTTAAACTTGTGAATTATGTATTTTGGAACACCGCTGTGCTGCTTTTTTTTCTTACTGTATCTTCATTAGAATTTTGGGATTTATTTTTGCATATAGTTCGGGAGGAGTTACTGCACATTCCCTGAATAAAGAATTCTCTCTTAAAATATTAAAGACTTGCTTCTAAAGTGTTCAGTTCTGCGTGCATCTCAAATCACAAGATTGCTGAGGAGGGAAACTTTTCAGACACTGATCTGCAAGTTCTGCTGTGCTGCTCTGCCTTCCTGCCCCATTTCAGACTGGCAAATTGAGACGGGCAAGTCCAGCTGAGGGGTTTTGGATCATTATCATTTAAACTGGGGTGTTTGCTTTTTCTCCTATGGAACAACACAAAGATGTTTAAAAACTGGGCAGTCTGTATCATGTGGTTACATAAGTACCAAGAAACCGTGTTTCTGTTCTATGCAAGTTCTTGTGCTGTGTAAATTCTTATGCTGCAATCAGCATGTGTAGGACACATTAGTTATGCTGCAATTCCTTCCGCTACAGACAGATTATTACCAGCACCTGCATCATTTGCCTAAATCTAGTTCTCTCTCCAGGACATGGTGACTGCACCGTCCCCATGAATGTTTCCCAGGAGTGGTAGTATGTAACAGGACTGTCCTGGGTTGGCTGTTTTCTCACAAGTGGGATAAGCGTRTTGAGAAGAGGTTTTTCAGTTTGCTTTGATATAGTTTTTTGTTTCATTTAAAAATACATGAAGATGTCACCCATTATGTCAGTGAAGGCAAGGTATGAGATTTAAGTCTGGCACTTGGTGCAGAAACTGGTGAGGTCTTCGATGAAGAGTTGCCAAAGGAAATTATTCTCCTGCGTGAYGCTAGCTTAAGAAGATTTTGTCTGGCAGGCCAGGCTTTGCCCAGGATTTCTAATCTTCTGGAGAGGTCTTTAGTGCATGGGCAGTAAACTTTCTTCTGTAGCCTTACCTTGAAGCTTTTATGTAATTTTAAACTTTGCGGTCTCCTCTTTTCTATGTTTCTATTGCTGTTCCAGTAGCTTTCCCTGGCATCATCAGAGTAGTTCTGCTCCCCTCTGTCATCATTCTTACCGGGAACTTGTATTATTTTGTGTCTTCTCAGTCAGAGATTTACCGAGTGTCCTCTCTGCCTTGGCTTTGTGCTTTSTTTGTCTGATACAATAAGAAGTGTCATGCCTGTATTTGCTCAAGGCATTACTGAGTTCTGCTTTCCTATTGAATCACACTGTGACATAAAGTTGATATTTTAGCTGCTGAAGCACTGCTGTTGCTTTCCATTGCTGAAGCCGTGCATGTGAGATGTTTGAGTTTCTGCTGAAGTAATCTGTGCCATGTGATTCTGAAACATCGCCTACTGCTTGTACTTGGCCTTGTCTCATCACATCATAAGATGCCTCTCTGGTGCTTTTCTGGCTCTAGGGCATAAAGCTATTGTTTTTTTGTCCTTTGTGAGAGAGTTTGATAAATTTTCCTSGTCTGTGGAATAAAAAGAGACTATCTCTAGGCAGGGGTCTTTAAAAGCTTTGGGCTAARTTTTATTTGACTTGTCTTGCAGGTAAATCCATTATAAGTTGTCACAGAAGTTTATTTGTGGAGTGTCATAGTGACTCAAGATTGGGATACAATTCCTGCTTTATATAGCCTTTGAGTTCAATTCATTCTCCTGTTACTCCTTCAGACAAGCCTKAAGTCCATGAAATATTCTTAGAGAAAACTTGGTTTATGTGGTTTAAGGAGCTGCTGCTACATAAAGAGTACAGAGAGGAAATCAAGGCCCTCTTGGAGATTTACAGCAACTAGCAGTTAAAATTAAATTAAGGTAATCCACTTGTCTTCTACCACTGCTTACTGTTGCTTTTCATCAAGATGCCTGCAGCTAGTGTGGTTATTTGACATTCTCAGGTTGTAAAGCCCCAGTGATGCTAATGGGTTTTGCAGTTGTGCACTTCWCTTGACTCTTACAGTGGGATTCTCCGAGAAGCTCCACGTATCTATAAAWGCTGTGTCCCATTTACCTTTCTTTGAACTTGCTGTGGCACAAKGGTGTTGGTTAGGAAGGGCTGGCTKGTATTAGCYCTTTCTTTCCAAAGAGATATTCTTGCCAAGGGCTTACACACCTCCATCTCTATGTAGTCAAGCATAGTGTCATACTGTCAATATAGGGAAAATTGGATTTGAAATCAACAACTGCTAAGTGAGATTTCCCTGAACATGGGAATGTCCAGGTTGTCCTGGAATAGATCTGTAGTGTGTGTGTTGCCAGGTAATTGTCGCTTGCAAGATCACCCRTGCTATTTGGCAAGTAAGAATAGCACAACTCAAATACATGGCCATGGCAATACTGATGCAAAATCTTTTATTATACTGCAAATGTTTTTTTGTAGATAAAACTATCACTGAAATCAAACATGAATCCCAYATACTGGTCCTTGAAATGGGCTGGTTCTGACAGTTACCTAGAAGAGAGCACCTCAGAATTAAAGATGGAAAAAAAAAAAAACATATTAAGAATGGTCTGACATGGAAAATCAAATTCACTCAGTMGCCCAGAAGAGGACAAACAAATCAGTTGGTAAATAGTATCAGTGAACAGCCTCCCCCAGCTCTGAAGCTGAAAATCTGAGTCATTTGGAGAACTTRTTTTAGTATTAATTGGCTTGTCATTTGGTGCTCAGACAAGGCAGACTTTGTATGAATTTTTGTGTAGAAAAGCAACAAAAAATGTTAAGCAAAAAGGAATTGCTAGGRGATGAGGATAAAAGAAGTCTAAGCCTAGAAACCATAAATGTAGAGGTGTCAGTGGAATAATAAGCTCACATAAAAATGGATACTAGCTACAGAAATGAAGCTCTGTGTCTGGTAAAGTGAATAAAGGATGAAGAAGTATGAGTAGGAAATTACCAAAATGGACTGCTAGTTTAAATGTAGACAAAATCTAGTTTAAAGAGAAATTTGCTTGACTGGTTTATTTGTGTTATTATCCAGAATGTTCTAGGTAACTGAAAAGAAAATTATCTTTGTAACTTCTTTTTTATATAAGTGTAATTCTTGCTACTACATAAAGCTTTAGTGGTTGATGCTGCAAGAGATGGGGGTCACCTAGGTGCTTTGCTTAATATTCCTGCTGAAGTGCAAGAAATGTACTCCAGGACCTGGCTCACGTATTTCTTTATCCTAAAAATTGTGGCTTCTTGTTGTGGACAAACCTTCAGCATGTTTAATGTTCAAAACCATAAAGTTGTCAGAAAAGTGCAAGATTGAGAGCTAGACAGTTTTCCTGAAGACAAGCAAGCTGTGGAAGTCATCCGATTACAGCAATTCCTGAATCAGCTGCTATGGGTATCCAACTTCTCTTGCAGTTTACAGGAAGCAGAAGATTCAGAGAGAGGGGAATCTCCTTCAGTCCCTCCTTGATTTCATTCATCTCAGTTGGAAGTGTATGTTATTGAAAGGCAGAGTGCCTTTCAAGCAGAAGAACTTAAGATCTTGGAATAAGGAGGACACCTTCCGGAAGAGAGAAATTTGGTTGTTGTCAAAACCAGRCTTAAGCACAGAAAAACAATGTAATTATTCTCCAGGAATTGATATGTTAGACAAATTCAACTGCAGGCATGGAAAAATGGCTTATGGATATTTTGCTGGGCATCTTTTTCTCTGAGAATATATTGGTTTGTTAAGCTGAAGTGAGTATATTCAGGCTGCTCAAACTGCTAAATCCATAGAGAGAGAAAATTACTAAAATTTGGCTAGAAACCAGTCTGTTTTTCCCATCTGGAATAGTACAAGCCAAACTCTTAAGCTTCATAGCCAGAAATGAACACTGAAATGTCTCTAGAGTTGGAAGTTTTTACTCTCCTCAGTAAGACCAAGTTTGCAAAAATCTATCCAGGTCTCCAATCTTCAGAGAAAATGTGCTCTTTAATACTCTGTGTCCAAAAATGCACTTTGAAAAATACAGCCAGCCCAAGTGTATGTTTTTTTTTTTACCCCTACCTTAGAACATGCTGCAGGAAGAATTTGTGTTTCTCTGTGCTTGTTTTGCAATAATAATTGTCCCCTAAATCATGCTAACTGGAGAACTTTCCTCTATTTTCTTTTTACTGCCATGGTTGAACTTCCATCATCTGGAAAATTGGTCCCTTTTCCAGTCCTGACCTGGTTTCTCAGAATCATATGCTAGTTTGGTCTGAAGGAGCATTATCTTGTTAATGTATTCAAGGTGTTAACAGCTTCTTTCAATATAAATGAGTAACAGATGAAGCTGTGTCCTCTTCGTGTGTGGCAAAACTACTGTCGAAATCTTGCAAAACAGCAGATCTCATTAGGRTGACTAAGAGTATTTAGAAAACATAAGACATTGTGAGCCTGATCCCAGGTTCACAGTTCCAGCAGTTCTTGGGGAGTGAACATGAAGAGAGGAAATGCAGTGTCCAAACAACTTTTATCCAGTAACTGTTTAGTGGTTTAGTGTGGACCTGCTGACCTCTGGAAGCTTTGTTTCTATTGCTCGCTGGAAATTTTCCAGTGGGAATGTTGTTGTTTCTTCATTCTCTGTTCATTTCCCCTTGCTCTGTTTTCTCTAATTGCCTCTTCTGCCTGCTGACTCATCTTACAAGATGCTTTCGCTTGCTCAAGCAAGGTTTGTGAACTTTTAAGTGCTCACTCGCTGCTTGCACTCTCATTTGCACCTCCTGCTTGTTCTTACAGTTCTTACTAGCCGAAGACCACAGGAGCTTGAATTCTCCTTTGTTTTACTACATTTAGTCTACATGTTTTTTCAGGGAAAAAATGCTTTTGACTACATGAAAAATAGACATTGTGGTTAAAACCCTTCTTATTTTGCCACAAGAAAAGAATGTAAGGTTACTTTCAAATTTTCTATGTAGCATTTTTAAAATACATATTTCTTGTTTGCTGTCTACGGCACCCAGTTYACTCTTGATCTTAATTTGCCTCTGTCACTTTTAAGATGCTGCTATTCCCTTTAAGCCCTTAGAAACTATTTCCTGTTCCTGAAAATTGCAGGGCATTTCATATTCTTCTGGCTAGGTGAGGTGTTGTGAGTTGAGAAATGATAATTGATGTAGTGTTGTTACCTGCTTGTACTGGTGTTGAGTTAGCTCAGGCACATCCATGTGCTGACTTTGAGAACAGTGGCTTCTTAAATTCCTTGCATTGCCCCAATTACACTGACGACTTTATAGATGGGTTTTAATCACCTGTCACTGAGCAGAAGCAGAGGTGTCTGTTGGGTTTTCTCTGCTGAAAATAATATTTACTCACTTTTGACAAAATATTTTGGATAACTCTTGCAAGGATGAGGGGTTTGAAATGAGGAAGGAAAGTGTAGGCAAAACCAAGGAAAATAATTCCATGTTCCTCACATATTCTA